TTACTACTACTACTGCTACTGCTACTACTACTACTACTACTACTACTACTACTACTACTACTACTACTGCTACTACTATTGCTGCTACTACTACTACTACTACTACTACTACTACTACTACTACTACTACTACTAATACTACTATTACTAATACTAAAACTATTACTACTACTACTACTACTGCTACTGCTACTACTACTACTACTACTACTACTACTACTGCTACTACTAATACTACTACTGTTACTACTAATATTACTACATATACTACTACATATACTACTACTGCTGCTACTACTAATACTACTACTAGTATTACTACATATACTACTAGTGTTACTACTACTACTACTACTACTACTACTACTACTGCTACTACTACTTCTACTACTAGTACTACTTATACCTCTACAACTATTGCAAAAATTACTATTCCAGCCAATACTCCTACTATAACTACTACTGCAGTTGCTTCCATGCAGTACTTGGCTCAATGCCATAACACAGAGGGAGAGCACACTGGATTATTGTACTGAAGAAGAAGGTTTAATGTACATAAAAAGGAGTTAAAAAATTACTGTTTACTAATGATTACTGGCGTGGATGTGACAGTGTGTGTACATTTAATCACTCTTACCTCTACAGTTTGGTTCTATTGAAGTTTTGTGATATTTTGTACAATGACAATGAATCTAATCTCTCTAAATAAGGGATGAGCACAGTGAGCGTGCAGGTACCAGCGGTGTCATGTACGTGATGAGTGCAGACGGTGTATCTGGTGCATACAATAAAAGACAATGGTGCATGGAGACGGACACTGAGGCAGCCGGCAGCAGGAGGAGTTCAGCCAATGGCGAAAACTGTCCTTGTTTCCTTGGGCACATGCACACATCAACAAACACTGACCTTTTTTTTTTTTTTTTTTAAAGGGCCCATCTCATGCAGAATCAACTTTTCAGAGCTTTCTATCTTCTAAGAGTGATGTGTGGGCCTTGTATATGCTGTCCAAGTGGTTTTTAGCAGCGTATTTCTGTCACCCTTCCACGTGACAACGAACTAAAGCTGCTACAACGATGACGCGTTTGACGTAGCAGAAAGCGCCTGCAACACGCTGTAGCACAAATGTGCATTTAATGATGATTTGTACCAGAAATTCTCCACTCTCTGTCCCAGCTGAGACAAGTGTGAGGCCATGTGCACAGTGTACAAAGCAGCACATATGTTTCGGTGTCCAGTGGGGGTGCGAGGGACGTCAAAGCACCAGGACACCGAAAAACATGAAAAAGCTTTGCCAGGTGAGAGTAGCACAGTGTCAATGACGAGTCCACATCTCCCACCCCCTGTACGGTGTCCTGGTTTTGACAAACGCAAATATGGTCACATTAACCTATATTCCACTGAGTCATGTCTTTTAATCTGACAGAAGTTGAACCGCATCACTGCACAAGAACTGTTTTTTTCTTTGCTTAGTTTATGCAAATTGGCCATGCAGTTTTAAGTTTCGTTTCTTGTGCAAAATCTGCATTAAACACATGACAATGTCAAATGGGCTGATGTGGCTCTAGAGTGGTTACAGTTTATATGTCCTGAAGTTGAATTTATTTATGCAGATTAGAAGTGCAGATAGTAATAATAATGATGATCATTTTAATATAAAAATGTTAATGATTAATTGATAACCGATCGTCAATTCTCCCAACGATCGATGAAGAACATTTTATCAAATGCCCATCCCTACTCGTCGCCTACGTCATGTTTGGAGGGCGGAGCCTGTGTTTTCTCAGGACGGGCGGGGGGAGGAGCAATAGTCGCCCTTTCATAATTCCTGGTCTGTGACTGTTCCAAGAAATCAGTAAGATTTCAAAAGTATTGTGTAATGGATGTTCCAAAACCCAAATTGTGCTTGTTTATGTGCAGAAGATACAATGTGAAAAGAGTTATTTTGCATGAGATGGGCCCTTTAAGATACGATGAAAACTCAAGAAAAAACACAAAATGGATTTAGACAACAATGCGTGAGCCCCACTAGTACAAAAATAAAAACAATATTGCACTGTAGTAATGATTTGATTCTGTATTATTTAAAACAGTATTTTAGGTTGCTGGACAGATCCTGAGCTCTTTAGCCAGAGCTTCTCCTCTTGGCCCTACAGAGAAAAATGGGACCATGTTTTGTTTGGAGCTCCATGTGTGCGTGAGAAGGAGGGTCATGTCATCAGCGTCGTAGAAGGACACTTTCTGTCCGTCACACTCCAGTTTGACCCTGACCCTCTGTGGCGCCCTCTGCAGTCGTACTGATTTACTGCAGCCGTTGGTGTATTTCCCGTTTCTGTGGCACAAACTCCACACGCCGTATTTTGGAGAAGCGTTGATCTTTTCTTTTCTCTCAACGGTCTCCTTGGCGACGCCGACACTCCAGTTGGGATGGTCGCCCACCTCCACATCCCATTGGAGCGACCCTGAGCGGACGACCTCTGACCCCAGGACGATGGGATGTTTGCTGAAGCGCTCGGGAGTGTCTGGGAGGTTCTGGAAGTTATCGTGCCGGACCGCGCAAAGGTCATCAGACAGACGCAGCCATCTCCCCGCTGTGTTGGGGTCCAGAGTCACCGTCCCTGCAGTTAGGAAGAGTTTTTAAAGAACACATCTTGTGCTTCAGCCTGCTGTATACTAGTTCACATAATCTATGACACCTTTCGATCATTATTAGGGCTGGGTATCATTGAGAAGTTGCCGATACGATGCATGCCTCGATACATAGGCTACGATACGATACAAATCTCGATACAGTGCACTTTCGGTTCGATACGATATATTTCAAATCGATTCAATACAGTAAAAAAAAAAAAAAAAAGGCAAAATTGTGGCTGTACTAAAAGTCTTTGTTAAACCACTTCGTGTGCAAAGTGAAATGAAACACAAACAAGTTAATCATCAGAACAGTTGTTCAGTTACTCTAAACAAGCAACAAAACTGTAGCATTGTAACAAAATAATTTTGTAAAATATGCAAAAAAAAATACTCTTTGTGATATATCTGTACAGCAGCCCCAGATATTGATATTGTATCATCACATTAAACGATACGATACATCGATATTTTGATATTTTTGCACACCTGTAATCATTATGTTATAATTTAGACATTTTAAATCACAGTATTCATCTAAAATGACTTAAAGGGCCACTAAACACCAAAATCGCTTTTGTTCTACTGATTAACCGTGTAAATGTCTAAAATAGAAGTGTGTCTCTATCCCTGGCTTTATTTTGGCATTTTAGTGCATGTTTGTTAAAAATCTGACTTTTGGATTAAAGCCTCTTTATTTCGGCCTCAATTATGGTCAGAACATTAGAATTTTCAGGTTGGACTGACGACGGCCGATGTGTCAGATGCAGGTTAATACTTGACATGCGCAGCTACTGGCGTCTACGGGCTGTACGTGAGGAGCTCAGCCCCGCCCTGGCACCGCCATGTCCCGCAGTGTCTGGAGAAAAGGGGACATGGCGTGATCCGAGCACAAATGTCCACTCTGTTTCAAAGTCCGGAGCGCACTGGTCCACGCCGTGTTGGATTGTTGTGGCTGTGGGTCAGCTGTCAATCATTGCCAGACTCCGCCCCACACCCGCTCCCCCCAATCCGCCTGGCACCACCCAGTCTGGAGGATTATT